CCCCGCCACACCCCGTGGCCGACAAGGACACGTCCAACGAGTCCAGCTCAGGCAGCGCCACCCAGAACACCAAGGAACGGCCAACCACAGAGCTGTCAACCGCAGAGGCCACCACGCCCGCCACGCCTGCCCCTCGCCTACAGCCACGGGCCCTCAACCCAGCCTCCAAATGGTCCAAGATCCAGATTGTGACGAAGCAGACAGGCAACGAGTGTGTGACGGCCATCGAGATTGTGCCTGCCACGCCGGCTGGCATGCGTCCAGCAGCCAACGTGGCCCGCAAATTTGCCAGTATTGCCCGCAACCAGGTGCGCAAGAAGCGGCAGATGGCGGCCCGGGAGCGCAAGGTGACACGGACCATCTTTGCCATCCTGTTGGCCTTCATTCTCACCTGGACGCCCTACAACGTTATGGTCCTAGTGAACACCTTCTGCCACAGCTGCGTCCCCGAAACTGTGTGGTTCATTGGCTACTGGCTCTGCTATGTCAACAGCACCATCAACCCTGCCTGCTATGCCCTCTGCAATGCCACCTTTAAAAAGACCTTCAAGCACCTGCTGCTATGCCAGTATCGGAACATTGGCACTGCCAGGTAGGCAGGCAGGGGTGCCATAGGAGGTGCTGGTGGTTGCGTGTGTGTGCTGGCGGACCACATGGCTCAGCTGCTGTGGGCAAGATTTGGAGGCACCTCTCCATGTTCACGATCACTGAAGGGGAGAACTGAGGTCCCCAGACCCTGTGAGGCTCAGGAAGCTCTGGCTGGATTCAGAGAGACCAGCTCTGCTCAGGCGAGAAGGGTCAGCCCCAGGAAGTATCCGAACCAGGACAGCCTGGCCAGTCTCTGTTGCCCTGCCTCAGGGAGCTGGGGGGCACTGGCCTTCATGGGCACCTGCCCCGCTATGAGCAACCAGTGTGGCTGGAAGAATGGACATCTGGAGGGGAGCAGAAGCCCAGGGCCCCCTTGGAGGAGCAGAGGCCAATGCTTGGGAAAAGAGGCTCGGGAAGGGAAGAGTAGTGTCCCTCACTGTTGTAATCGGTGCTTTCTGCCCCCCTGCAACCTGCATGTAGGCTCAGCCCCCTCCTCCCAAATCCCACTCCAGGGGTAGAAATCTCCCCTTGCTGCAGCTACTCAGCCAGGTACTGGTTGGATGGGTGGGTGTGCAGGCAGAGTGGGCTCTGGGGCACCCTCTCGCCTTCCGAAGCACAGCCTTGGTCAGTCAGGATGGACCAGCAGGAGGTCCAGCCTCCTTGGTCCCAGGGGTCCCAGCCTGAGCACGGATCAGTCCACCTGATTTTTTAAAAATCTATCTTTATTGATTTTGGAGACAGGAAGGGAGAGGGAGAGATAGAAACATCAATGATGAGCCATTGATCAGTTGCCTCCTGTACGGCCCCTACTGGGGATCCAGCCCCAAACCCAAAGATGTGCCCTGACCAGGAGTCAAACCGCAAACTCCTGGGTCGTTGGTCGATGCCCAACCACTGAGCCACGCTGGCCAGGCTCTGATTCTGAAGAGCCCTCCCACTTCCCAAAGTGGAGGGCTTGACCCTGGTCACACATAAGGTGGGGCTGTGGAGGGCAATGTTCCAGTGGCCTCTGTAGACGGCTAGGGAGGCCTGGGTCACCAGAGACAGAGATGGACTTCGCCCGCACAGACTTCAGTGCCAGTGGAGTGGGGGGTTAAGGCTGGCAAGCACCCCCATCTTTTTTTTTTTTTTTTTTTTAA